TATCAATATTCATACCAGTGGCAATTAGTCTACGCAGACACTCCAGCTGTGATATAAAAAGTGAGAAAAAATGTCAAATTTCAATAACTGAACTGAATGAAACAGTACAATATTAACTGGGTTTCATTAAACTTTTTTTTACGCTGAAAAGTGAAATTCGCTTATCCACATAAACAGGTTAATTACAATAGAAATTATTCTTTTCATCCCTTGAATTTAAAACTCTGAATATGATCAATAAATATCAATTTCAAAACACTGTAAAAAATGCTTTTTACAGAATACATGGTACCGGGTAGTATATGACAGAACGCCGTAGCTTCACCCTGGCATTTTTTTGGGTTTCAAGTTACTGATTTTCCTGATGTGTGTATTCTGCAGTATTTGCAATCATCAATATTCTGAAGGTGTCAGAATATTCCAGTAACTGTTAGTAGTACAATGCAATATTCTGATTGGTTGATGGCATTCTTGCACTTTGTGGTAAACCACCATAGTACATGTAGGTCAACTTGTGTTCAAGAAAACATAGCGAATTTCAGCATTTGTATGGATTCTATTCAAGTTGATTGTTCTTATAACATATATTTCATAGCTAACCAAAATGAAAAGTTTTTATTGAACCATGACTGAAAAATGAGCAATGCTGTTAAAACCTCAGAAAAGCAAGTTGTTTTTGTGTGCATGTCCCAAGTAGTAGATGATCGTTTTAGGGAAGGTAGATTTATCAATTAGTTCAGATAAATCACATTGTGTAAATCAGACCATGTAAACACTTATTCTGCCATCAGAATAATTTGATGCAGTTTCGTCTGATAAAATTGCAATATTTGCATCAAATGACAATCAAAATGGAATTTGAGTTCAGCAACATGGTGTGTGAGTTGGAAATAGCGTATCTGTTTTATTAGAAGTGCATCTATAATTATAACATGGTTAGTCGGAATTTAGCCATCTGATTACTGTAGTGTTTTTTGTAAGAATAAGGTGCCTCAGCAAAATTAAACAAAAACTCAAAATATTCTTGTAAATTACACCGTGTGCAGGTAACTGCAACATAAAAATAATGTGATCTACATTATTGAAGCTGTTAATTATAGATATAAATAAATTTGATTGTACATCTGTGGTTTGCAGTCTAATTTATTTTAAAATTGTAAGAATTGCTAGTGTGAATGCAATATTATAAGTTTTATATCATTTTTATAATAATTAGCACATAATTTGCATAATTTATTTATGATGTTTGTACATTTTTATGACATTCCACAAACTGCTTACTGGTACATTTTGTATATACTGTAGTACCGTACTTTAGTTTTATGATATAGAACAAAAACACTAGTCATGGCTTAAATTGGTCAAGAACACCAATAACTAAAATATTATTATAAAGTACTATAGTGGCAAAATATGTAATGGTGGATTTTCGGTTATTAATTGACAACAATAACTGTATTATCCCTGGCCATAGTGAAAACTGAATGTTGTGACTATTGTAAACTGTCATGGCAGTCTTGTGTGTTACTTCCAGAATGCGGTAACTTTAGTTGTGGCAAGATAACTATGATTAGTCTGTGAATAAGGTAGACCAAAAGGTCACCAGCCATGATGAAAAGCAAGTATAACCATAGACCTTAGAAAGAAACACTGTAGTTGCCTGTCCCTCTCTTTCTCTAAGGTCTATGGTTTAACCTTTCGACAACAAGTTTTCTTGGCCGTACGTAGAGCCTGCAGCAATTGCTTGTTTTCATTGAGGTTTCAATCATTAATAATTTCCTTGAAATTGTTATCTCCAACACTGGAATCAACATTACTTTGAATGATTTGTGAATGTTTACCCATTCCAATAAACCAGTTGCGATGAAAACACATAGCTGTAAAAATCATAGACTATAGTAAGGGTTCAGAAATCAAACCTAATCAAGCATGATTTTGAGTGTGGTGGTTTCTCAAAGCAGCATGACAGCACCACCATGCCATGTCCTGGGGAGAACGCTGAATACATTGTTCTAGTGAGAACAAGGTATGTTTAGTGCTGACGCTGAATTTGATCTTCCCAGTCACCATATTTGGTATACGGTAATACTCAGCATTGCCAGTTTATTTTTAAACAAATAAATTAAATTCAGTGACTTTCAATTTGATACTATGATAATGGACCTCTAACCTTGAGGGTCCATTGGGTTCTATCCTTGGCTTTATTTCTACTGTACACAGGGCATTACCTAGTAAACATATTGATAAAGGTCACTGATAAGCCCAGCATTCCATTCTGTAAACATGCAGCCAAGGTTGGTGGCAAGAAGAACAGTCATTATGCAGGAGTGGGTGGATAAATGACAACTAAATTTTAAATAATAGAACTTTTTTTATTAATACATTTTTTTACTACTCCCTGTAGTACCAGTACTACGCCAATACAGTTGGGAAAAAGTGTGCATTGAAAAACAAAACAAATCAGGGCGTATAAAAAATCAAAAGAATGACTAACCACAGAACAGTCGATGACCATCCATCTTTCATTGCATGCAAGGTTGAACTAACGTCAAACATTGAGCCAACATGCGCCAAGTGAACGTATTCAAAAAAAAAAACAGCATTGCTAAATGTCACGTAGTTCACATGTTACTTTGACAACAATTTAAGTCTTTGTGTGGTCCTCGCTTTTATTAATCACCGACGCTGTGCTGGTCGTTTTAAATTCACCGCCACAAAATTTGCATATGAAAGGAAAACGTTTCTATAAAAGCAAGGAAATGTCAAAATTGCTGAGTACGTTGGTAGTAAGGAAAGCGAATATTCGCTTAAAAATTATACACGTCATGAGGAACAGTATTTGTCGAGCGTTATTGATTTTACATTCGTGTTACTAATATCTGACGTTTGCAGATGGCGAACGAATGAGGAAGTCTGATAATAATAAAAAAATCGGGCAGAAAAACGCCGAAAAAAATACAGATATGAGCGTGGAATATCGTGCACATGAGAGAAAACGGAACTAAGGAATATTACGGTTACTTACTTTGCCAAAATATGCTGCCCAATGGGCCGGGGTCCAACCATAAAACTGGTCTTCAACATACAGCCCCGAGTGTTGCCCATTCGTAATCAACAAAGAAAGACCTTCCGAGTCTCCATCGCGGCATGCACGGTGAACCGGGTAGTCGCGACGAAGAGTTTCCTCGCTCGCAGCACCCCAGTAGCCAAACGCATACGACTCCTCCATTTACAGTTATATTTAGAATTTATGAGAACAAAAATGTTAGTGAATTGAGTGTGATTAGAGTAAGAAATTACAAGAATAAGGACTACCCACGCGACACAATGCAACTAGCAGCTGACAGCTCTCAAATAATAACAAAATAGTACATCCGGGTATTCAACATTTGATTTTCAATAAATGTACTGCCCTCTCTGGTGGAAATAACAACTAGTATTTGTCACCGCTCATATACCTCCCTCAGGGTATACCTAAAACAATCGTACATTGTAAATAAATAAATAAT